TAAGAATCCGATTGCTATCATAAAGAATGATGCTTTCAGAGGACTCCTGAACTTGGAGAGATTGGACTTGTCTGCAGGAGGCCATATCGGTTCGTTTGCTTCTCCCTTTGCAAATCTAGGACAGGTCCTAGAAATCCATTTATCTGGCACATCCCTGGACCCTGGGCAGCAAACCTTTCTTGGCCTTGATTCACTGCAGAGGCTTTACCTGAGTAAATGTGCACTGAGTAGCAACTCCTTGTGGGACTCCAAGAAGAATGTCTCTATTTTCTCTACAGTATCTCAACTGGAAGTTCTTTACCTCAGTGGCAATGCCCTGAATGGGATGCATCAAGGTACTTTTCATCAACTGAAAAGTGTTGCTACATTAAGGTTGGACCATTGCTTGATAGCCGTGCTACATCAAGACATTTTTCGAAATATGTCTTCCCTTGCGTTTCTGTACATTGATTACAACAACATCAAAGTTTTGCTACCGCAGCATCTGATAGACCTCCATTCTTTAAAGGCCTTGTATGCCCACCACAATGACATTGAACATATAAACCATGATGTCTTCTCTCAGAAGACATACTTCTTTTTACTCGATATTGCAAACAATGATATATCTTTGATCGAGGAGGGGACAATACTGCCAATGAAGAACCTGGACATTTCAAACAACCCTCTCGCATGTGTTTGCAAATTGATGTGGTTCAGAATGGAATTGGACAAGAGCAACATCACACTGGAGAAGCCACAAGAAACAATCTGCTCACTGACATCCCTCCCTTCTCTTGCAGGACAGCCACTCTTGAATTTCAAGCCAAGATATTCATGTGCCCCAAAAATTGCTCTCTACATTGGAATATCCATCCTCTGTGTTTCTTTCCTACTAGGAATGGCAACTGCCTATCAAAAACGTTGGTGGATCAGCTACAAATGCTTCCACATTAAACTCTGGATACTGGGTTATGAGGAATTCCAGGATGGTCGAGAACACGCTGATTACAAATACGACGTCAATATTGTCTTTGATGAAGACGACGAGGAGTGGGTACAGGATACCCTCAGACCTGGCATCCAGGAACACCTTCCACACTTGAACAGAGTGGTCTTTGGAGACAAGGACCTCCCTCTGGACATGTTCTACATGGATGCCGTGATCTATGTCATGGAGAACAGCTTCAAGACTGTCCTGGTGGTCAGTAAATCTGCCATCAATGACCACAACTTCATCACAAAGTTACGGCAGGCTGTTGATCTGATGAATGAGGAAGAGATTGAGAAGGCTCTGCTGGTCTTTAAGGACGATATCTCTCAAGGAAGGATGCCCTATCTGGTGAGATTACTTCTGAGTCAGAACAAACCCTACCTTCTCTGGAACGAAGAGAGGTATGCTAAGAGACTGTTCTGGGAGAAGTTCACCAAGAACATGCTTGTAAACAAGATAATGAATGACCTATTACCTGTTTAACTCTTCACTTGCTGCTTTCTGAAAACCTAGACTGCCATACAGTTTAGAATGTTTCATGTCTTGTACCCGTTTGTATGTACGACATAAGAGACTGTGGCAGTCATTTTTTTGTTCCATTTGTCGAGTAAATCAAGCAAAGGGTTAACATTTCTGGGTAAATATTTTCCAATGGTCTAGGAATAATGAAAACCAATTAATGTTAAATTACGATTAAAGGCGTTTTGAAAAGCGAAGTATATATGGCTTTAACATGACAAAAGGTACTACACAAATAATTGTTTGTCTAAGAATCAATAAACTGAGACGGATTGCACTTACGGACCACTTTGTGTAGGTAGCAGAATTTTTCATAACAAAGTGGTTGATGTCTGATATCTCATCCAAACTTAATGCCAAACAGTTTGAAAGTAGATTGGGTAGATCAACAACACACTGTCTTGTAGATATTGTAAACTTTCTAACGAAGCATGCAGACAAAATTGGTACCAAATCCACTCTAGTAACAATAGACTTTTCTAAGGCTTTTGATAAAGCTGATCATACAGTAGTCATCTCAAAACTCATCCACCTTGTGTCTTGTCCCTCAACTGTACCCTGGATTAAAATTTCTGACTGGTCGCTCCCAGTGTGTTCGCTACCAGGATGTCGTGTCTACCTGGGCTCCAGTGAACATGGGCGTCCCACATGGGACACGCTTAGGCCCGGTCTTCTTCCTAGTCCTCATCAATGATGCATTGGCATCCTCAAAATTGGAGCATTTGAAATATGTTGATGATATAACAATATTGGAAGAGAGACCACAGGTCACAGCTGCTGAAGTCCACAATGGCCTATCTGAACTCAACACATGGTGCAAAAACAACGCCATGCAGCTTAATGCCAGTAAATGTCATGTAATGAGATTAAATTTTGGAAAAAACTCAACTCCTTCCAATTAATGTAAGGCTTGGGAACCAGACCCTTGATGAGGTGCAATCAGCCAAAACCCTGGGGATACTTTTACAGTCAGATCTGAAATGGAACAGCCATGTCGATAACATGGTGCATAACGCAAATAGGCGCATGTACATGCTAAGGTCTCTCAAACCATTCCAATTACCATGGAAAGACTTACTATGTGTATACACAGGCTATGTCAGGCCTCTTGATGAGAATACTGCTCCAGTGTGGCATCAGGGCTTAACAAACCGACAAAACTGCCCAGATTGAAAGGATCCAGAAACGTGCACTCCAAATTGTACTGGGATCATTGTACTTGGCCTACGAAAATGCCCTACAAATGACCAAACAAAAATCTCCAAACTCTGGACACTAGAAGGCGAGAACTTTGCAAAAGATTTGCTAAATCACTAAGTTTTTTCTATTGTAACCATTTGAAATAGTTGGCCCTGCTTGCAAACCGATCAGCACATGATCCGTATAAAATCTGTGAGTATTATTAATATATATATATATTTTGCTATCGCGAATCTTAACTAATTTTCTATTAATTTGAAGTAATGTTCCAATGTATTAACTGTAATTTACTGATTGTTTCAATCTGTTAAAATCCCTTTATTATTCTGAGAGGAAAGATTATCGCTTATACATATTTCAGTATATCTTTATATTTTATATCTTACTATGAACTATAACAAATTTGTTAATATTACCTATTGTATTTTAATGTTTTTATCAAACAAACCATTAAAGTAGTCACCTGAAGAAAATTTACGGCAACTGATAATTATGGACAAATTATATATGGATGCAGGGGTCTTGTTAATTATTTTTGAAGGAGGTAATTTGAATTTTATAGGAGGTACCATCACTGCGAGGGAGCGAAGCGACCGAGGGGGGGAGGGTGTGGGAGGGGGGGACACCCCCCCTCCCACAGTAGGGACCTTTTGGGATTTTCCACTTGAAATCGTGCAATCTGGTGCATACCTAAGAAGAAAATTTGTAGTTATCTTTCCTACCTTGTATTACACATATATTGTAATAAACACACATATTGTTCATGTTTAATATTACATGAACAATCATAACTCATAAGAAAAGTTATTAAGTTGATAATTATTTATCACTTTGTACATGTACCATTACTTTGTAATTTTTAATTAAACTGAGATGATGCACCATACTCAATCTTTCTACATCATGATTTGTTGAATACATGTACAGTATTTAAATAATGGGCAGCAGAGGCTAGATTTTGATTTTTTTTTTTTACTTGTGACTTTTATTTGGCTCCCCATATGAATTCTCATTTAATTATTTTTTTTTGACATGAAATTATTGAATACATTTAAGAATTTACTTCAGTTCCTGTTCATTTTATAATGTTATATCACTGTTTTTCCTGACAAAGTGAAGACACTGTATATTTGTTTATTCAACTTTTCTTTTCAACGTTTATTCAACTCGAGATCGATTGCGATCGGAAGTTAGTTTTGAATATTCGCGGAGCGCGAGCCAGCATATATCATGCGAGCTAGCTGCGGGGGTCCGCCGGGGACGGCCGTGGCCGGCCTAAACTCAGCCGAGTTCAAAACTCTGTTGCCGATTTGCGCATCTCAGAATCTAAAGTACGTTGTCTCTAGACATTGCACGCACGTGTATAGGCCCCGGTTTCTGTGATCTTCAAATATCAAATCGGCAACGGATAGTTTGGTTACAGCGAGCTAGCTTCAGTTTTGTTATGATCAGTGTGTATATATTTTGTGCAGTGCATCGTCTTCTCGCGTGCACATCGGGATCACAATGGGGTAGGGACAGGCGGGCTTGGCCGCCGCGCTGTGGGGAGGAGAACTGCGATGTAACGTTAGATAGATAGGTCTAGGTAAGTACGGACGACGTCGCGTTCGTGATCGTAAGGGATTTCGTCGACTGCGGCCGTGTATGTGCGGCACTAATTATATCTTGGACGAAATTAAGGAAATTTTGGATTAGCATTGATTTAGATCTACTTTCTGTGATTTTTGCAAGGTTTATTATAGGAATTATAGCCGGTAAGAAACGAGTGAATAGGCGGCAAGTTTTACCGGTTACCGGCTTTAAACGACATCCCTGGGATGGAAAGATTTCCGCTGCAGTCGGCCTTGAGCCCACGTGGTATCTCTGCGAAAGAAAAATCACATAGATATCATGGAAATGTGTAAAGTGCTTTGTGGCTAGCTGTGTCTCGCATGTGACGTCACAAATCTTGACGCTCTACGGGAGACCGCTGAAAGCAGAGAATCTTGATCTCAAAATCAACACTTTTGAGAGATGATTACTTCAGGCCCCATACATATTTTGAAGAGGGAATTTGTTATATTGGATCATTAAGGCTTGCCCTTTGCAATGATATGAATTTTGCATCAATTCAAAACACTTTTGATTCTTCGGATAACTCCAAGGGGGTGTTTCACAAAGCCTTTTTTCAATGACAAATGACAAAAATCAGTGACAAACCTGCTGATAACCAATCAGAAGCAAGGATTTCAGTAGCTTATAACAAAAACTGTCATTTGTCGACAATTTTTGTGAAACACCCCCCTGGTGTACTTTAATTACTACTTACGGAACCAGGACATGCTGCGTCTTCATATTTCTGGATATTGGAAACCTTGACCCAGCATCTTGTGACTTTCTTGTCAAGAAAAACAACATGGTAGTCGGTCTGTTAAAGAAACAAATGAATAAATTGAGGGTTAAGTGACACAAAGACGTAACTCCATATTTTTCCAAAATTAGTATTTGATATCAAAATGTTCAGAAAAATGTGGGCTTTCCAAGAAACACAAAGACTTAACTTCACCCAACACCCAATTAAAGTTTATGGATAGGAAAACTAGACTTAACTCTTTAAAGGCCCAAGTGCTCAGTGACACATAAACCACTTTTTCTCAAAATGGCCAAAATGAAGGTACGTCTTTGTGTCACTGACCCATCGAATTAAAAGAAAGAGAGAGAACTGTGAGAGAGGTATCTGAATGCACGGGCCCACATGCATAAAACCTTACTAAGCTGGTTATCACCCAATTACATAGGCTATAGTAATCATGTTTTATAACATCTCTATGTCTTATATATATCTTTTGGATTGTATGCCCTGCTTTGGCAGTTTATGAATCTCGAGCACCATATGTATGCTGATGACACGCAGATATACTTTTCGTGTTCTCCCACACAAGGGGAAGTTGATGCCTGGATTGCTCGTGTTGAAGCTCTATTGTTGTAACTATTGAAAAAGAACTAAGTGTTATTTTTTTAGGTACTAATATTGAAGAAACTCTAGATTGGAAATGTCATATTGATTATGTTTGTTCTAAAATTTCTAGAAGTATTGGTGTCTTATCTAGACTAAAGAATTTTCTCCCAAGGAACATATTAATGAATATTTACAATGCAACACTTCTTCCCCACTTAAATTATTGCAATATCATTTGGGGTAATACTTACAAAACAAAACTGTTCAAGATTTATATGTTACAGAAACGTGCAGCTCGGTTAATAACAAATAGTCATTATATGTCTCTAAGTTTACCAATATTTATTAAACTGAAAATTATTCCTGTATATGATTTGATCAAACTTAATACATGTATATTTATGTTTAAATTTCATAAAAACCTGTTACCATCTGTTTTTAATATGTTCCACACAAATTCTTCTATTCACAATTACCCCACTCGTCAACGTCTAAATTTACATCACCCACTCTGTCGTTCAACTTCACTGTATAATTCTATATCATTTGTTGGGGTACGGGAGTGGAATTCCTTGAATTATGACCTAAGATCAAGTTCTACAATTACCAGATTTAAATCAATGTATAAAAAAAGTATTTTTCAATCCATGGTTGAGTAAGTACTTCTCTTTCCCATCTTTTTTCTACTTTTATCTCTTTCTGCCCTATTTTCGCTTCCTTCTATTCTTTCTCTGTAACCTTTATGAACGTGCGTGTGTGTTGATGTACGGGTGCGTACTTGTATTATTTGAGTCCTTTACTTTGTATTGTTAATTTATGTGCATTATCTTCTTATTGTTTGTTTGCAGGGCCCCGATTACAAGCAGATTTCTGCTTCTTAGGGGTCCTAACCATTATATTGTATATTGTATATTGTATTTTCATTGTAAATTGTTTGTTTTTTTCAGGTGGGCTGTATCTAACATAGACCACCTTATAATGTTGTTAAAATTGCCTTTATTATTTCTTTATTTTTCTTATTTCGACCCACTTTTTTGTGAGCAAGATAACTTGAAAATGGCTCAATCAAATGTCTTTAAATTTGGCACACATATGTATAGGCATATGAGCAAGGCACAGCAAAGTTTTCAACCTTGACCTTGATTGATGATGTCATCTAGGCGCCATTTTGTGAAATTTTCCGAAAATTTACTCATGATCATATTTTCATAACGGTAATTCATTTCTCATTCATATTTATCAGATTCAAGGTCAATATGTGTCCGGTCAATTTCAGGTCAAAAAATGCGCGCGTGCGCGTATGTCCGCGCGCAAAAAATTTAAATGCTTAAAATCGTCTTAAATTTTTTTTGCATACGTTTCAGGTCATTTTAAGCATTTTATAAAAAAACGCGCATGCGCGCGCATTTCCGCGCGTAACACCATTACACAACGTAGAATCGCCATTTTTTTTTCTTTCATGATAATTTCCATATTTTTTAAAACAATTTGATACTATGTTCATCTCTTTATGATCCTTTATATTAAGATGAGCGTCCATTCAAGATAAATGTCTGTGCGCGCGATTCTTATAATATATAGCATATATGGGCAAAAACATGCCTATACAAAATCCATTATAGCTCTTTGGAATGCACCGGGATCCTCAATTTTTTTTCATATTTAGATAGAGTATGAGTCGGAGATATGATTTCATGTCTCATTTGGCCATTAAGTGTATCGTGACATCATCACAATGGCCTTGGAACTCAAAATACGAATTTGCATATTATAACGTCAGCATATTTATGTAAAATTGATTGTATCTCTGTAAATATTGATCGATTTTCTTCCAAATTTCGATATGTTGTAGCTGAGTCAATTCTCCACAAATGTAGTTTCACTATTTTTCATTTTGACGAAGGCATTATGGCGTATTTTTGCGATTAAAGGAGGCATGTCAATTGTTCACATTTTGCGTGTATTCTCCATGGGACATGACTTTTTCTCAAAACTCGATTCTACATTCCCGTCTTTCGCGAGCAATATCTAGGTCGTTTTAGCTTGATTAACGCTGAACTTCGAGTATGTTGTAGCTGAGACAAAAAGCTATCTCAAACGTACCCTTTATTTTGTCTCAGTTTTTTGTTGGATCAGCCCACCTATACTTGTTCCAAACAAGTATTACAAATCTAGTTTTTTTTATTTTTTATACTGGTTAAATAAATGAAATGAAATGAAGCCTGTATAAGTGACATTAGGAATTGGATGAAGGAGAATTACTTGAAACTCAAGGACGACAAATCTCAGTTTGTTATGCTGGGTTCCAAGCAGCAACTCGCCAAGTCGGTAACCCCCAATCTGAATATTGGTTCGTAATCAATTACTCCAGTGAAGAAAGTTCGAAATCTTGGAGTTATTTTTGACTCCAATATGACCATGGAGTCGCAAGTATCATCAAGTGTTAAACTTGCGATCCACAGTCTCCGCAATCTTCGTGCTATTCGCAAGTATCTCACCACAAAGGCGGCTGAGCAGCTTGTGCATGCATTTGTTACATCCCGCATCGATTGTTGTAACTCTTTACTCTATGGCATCCCTATGTCTCAAGTTAAGAGGCTCCAGCTTGTTCAGAATGCTGCTGCCCGTCTAGTGACATATACACGCAAGTTCGCCCACATCACTCCAGTCCTTAAATCCCTGCATTGGCTTCCTGTTGAACATCGTCTCACCTACAAAATCCTTCTGATCACATACCGTGCCTTGTAGTTCTCCTCGCCACAGTATATCTCTTCTCTACTCAACTTTTGCAAGCCTGGTCGTTCTGGTCTGCGTTCTGCCAATACATCAACTCTGATCATCCCTAACAGTAAGACCAGACGATCATGGGGAGATCGAGCATTTGCCTCAGCAGCCCCCCGATTGTGGAACAGTCTCCCTAACACACTTAAGGACTGTAAATCAGTAGATAGTTTCAAGGCCAGCCTGAAAACTTATCTAATGGCCAACTTTAACTAATATCATCTTCTTCTTCTTTTTTATAACCATGTGTAATGTAATGTAAGCAAAATTGTTTCTAAGTATATTATGTAGCTCATTGTAAGCGCCTTGAGCACCCTCTGGGTGGATATGTTGCGCGTTATAAATGTCTGTATTATTATTATTATTTTATATGAGCAATGACCTGGACTACTCTTATTATATATGTCTGTGACTGTGCACTTTGTTTATGTTTATACTATTGAAGATTGACAATAAAGTGATACAAAATCAAAAGTAGTTGATAAATACAAGTGGAATTTATGTTCGTTATCGAACGCATACCTTCGCGAACAGCTGCATTATGTAATCTTTTGTTATATGCATTCTCGTTATTCGAGATTCGAGCTTACACGCTCATTCTCGGTTATGCAGTCAGAGCTCTCGGTTCTTATACTTATAGGCCTAACAAGTACTTCAAGCTAACTGCCACACCCATAACGATATGGACGAAATTCCCGCCGCCTCGAACGAAGAAATCCTGTCGGCCATCCACGCCTTACAGCGCCGGGTTGACACCTGCACATCGACGGTTCAACAACCCAAACCCATCCCAACATTCAAGAGCGAAGGGAACAAACAACAGTTTGAACACTCTAAAAAGGTCGAAAGATTGATTGAGAGAGGCATCGCCCTAAACGAGCAGGGGGATTTTGACACAACAGCGCTAACCCTGAAGGAAGCACTCCGAGAACTTAATGACAGGCAAAAGCTGATAAGAATCGCTGACCGGTCGCCACTCGGATGGTCAACTGTAAACGAATATGTCGCCGATGAACTTGCCGACGACTCCGGTGATGAGAAGCGTCTTCGAAAGGTAATACGTAATTTTTCCATTAAATTGTCCTCGAATTCACTTACATAATTTGTTCACAATGAAATGAATGAACGATTAGAAATGACGGTTATATCATTTAATTATAACCGATTGTATATTATGCGGAAAGCAGTCTCTTATTTGCACACAGTATTAGATATCGATTATATATTATGTAACACAAATTATCCGAGCGTATTTATTAATTCATACCACCTTTCTTTGTCTAGGCGGAGAAAGCCGCTTCTGCAAAAAGAGCGGAATCTTCGGCCAAAAGGTCGACCCGGGGAAGGCCCCGCCCATATCCTCGCCCTGCTCAACGCCCTGTTGGTTCTTTTCGCCGCTTCCCGGCCACCTTCACACCAAATTTTCAGCGCCGCTACGATAACCGTGTCTGCTTCCAGTGCGGCATCGCCGGTCACGTCCGTACCAGTTGTCCAGCTATCAGAGCCAGTCGACAGCCATTACGCCAGCAACCAGGGCCCCCAGGCGTCACCCAAGGAACCCTTTAGAGTGAAGCTACCACCAGGAGTCAAAGGTAGACTTAAACGATCTTATAATTTTTGGAAGTCTGAGCTTAAAGCCACACCATTTATTCTTGATATTATCAATGAAGGCTATAAGTTACCTTTTG